TTGAAATTTCATAGCCTTTTTAATGCAAGGGTAGTGAATAAGGCCAGAACACAAGATTCCAAAGGATTCCTGGGGCCTTCTAAAGTATAAAATCTTAGCTTGCCCAAATAAAACCAGAAAATGACTATGAGTGAAGACTTAAAATTCTGGGAATTCCTGCATTCATAGCCATGGAGCTGCCCAATTGACCCCTGAAGCAGACTCTAGGTTTTGACCATTTTATTGCCTCTTCATACAAAGGTCATTTTGATCCACTTTATTGTGGTGATATGCAAGTAGCTTTTTGTTGCATTTTCCAGCAACTTGAGGTAGGTGTGTGTGCACGTATGAGCTATCAGTAACATGGGTATTCACAAGTGGATTGTAATAAGAAACACAGAAAATGCTAGAAAAACTCAACAGTTCAAGCACTATCTGTGGAGAGAGAAACAGAATTAATGTTTCAAATCTGGCACCAGATTGAGAATGTTAATTGTGTTTCTCTCTCCACAGACACTGCCAGAACTGCTAACTTTCTTCAGCATTCTCTGTACTTGTTTCAGATTTCCAGCGTCTGCAGAATTTTGCCTTCATTGGAATGTAGTAAGGATACCTCCCTGTTGTAGCATGAATTTTAGCTGGATCTGAGCTGGCTGTTCCGGAGAAGAAAGTTTCATATTTGCCCTGGGGTACTGATGCTGTGAATTCCATGCCAACCCCACCCTGACATAGAGATAACATCAGCATAGCATAAAGACAACACTGCCGCTTGCTCAAGCAATGGGGAAAGCTGTTTGTAAATGGGACAGCATCAGGGGGTGTACACAAAGTGAGATTTGGGCAGCAACAGGTTGCTGATTGGTATGTGGAGTTGTGACTAGTTGTGGATGACATCAGCCTGACAACAACTATCTGATTTCTTCTGGGTGGCTGAACAGCTTGTGGACATTGACAATATTGGCACAACCCTTTGGACTGCTGAAAGAGCAGATGGTGTGTGTCTCTCACCAGGAAAATACCTAAGTCCTGAAGAAAGACAGTTTATTTGTCCCATTAGTTGCCGTAAGCTGTTGATTTTAACCAACAAATCATGAATCAGTCACTCTGTGCCTCCTGTGAAGAAGAGAGAGAACCTGATCACAGAACTGAAGGACTTGGGAAACAAAAAGAACACTTCTTCTAGTCCTGAGGACTGGTGCTAGTGAACTGTTGCCCCAGTAATTTCATGTCCTCCATGCATAACAGCAATATTTTGTTGTCTGTTTGCATCTATTTGCATGCATGTATAGCTGGGTTTTAGAACAGTGTTTGCATTTTACTGAGTAGAATTATATGTCAACAATTAATTATTATATGCCTGTGGTTAAAATCTATTGATCTGGGATAAATAACTCTTGTTAAGTACAGAAACTCAGTCCATGTGTTTTGTTAGCTTGGTTCTACCTAATAGATAAATTGGCATTTTGCATACCTTGCAATATTTAACTTTTAAAATGATACCAAGAATAATGGGACTTGATTTGTTCAACCAGGAGGGGCATTTTAGTTGCAGACAAACTGTCGCCGGGGAATGTGCATAAAATGAGATTTAGTTGGCAATAATAGCTGATTGGTCTACGGATTGGTGACCAATTGTTGATGACAAAGGCCTTCCACCTGCACAAAGCTATGTGCTAGGCTCTGAGGTAGCTGAACAACTTGTGGATATGAAAAATAAGGTCAGAAGCCATTGGTCCTTTGGAAAGAGAGATGGTGTCTTCTCTTTGAAGTGAGAAAAAAAACAGTTGAAACTAGTTTAAATGTCCTCACCAGTTGCTGGAAGCTGTTGCTTTCAACCAACAAGTCAGAGACTTATTTAGTTGTGAACCAGCTGCTTTGTATCTCCTTCAAGCAAGTGAATATACCTGGAGAAGAGAAATCAAGGAACAGCAGGTCCTGACAAGCCAGAAGGATCAACTCAGTGAACCCTGGAGACAAGGATCTTCTCAGTTTTTCCCTCCACTCACAATGTCAATTTCTTTTGTGCATCTGTATGTGTGTTCAGGGAGAATTTTATCATCTTTCTATCAACCTGGGTCCTAAAAGACTAGTAAATTCAGGAATTTTGCAAACTTTGGTAAAATCTTTAATTTTTGTGATGACTCCTGGAGTAGCAGGCTTGAAATCTAGCTTACTATCTCAGTGAGGCTTCTTAAAGTGTATGGTCGAATTGCCACTACAGAGACGTGGTTGCAGGGCGACCAAGACAGGAATTAAACATTAAAGGAAATTCAGCATGTAGGAGGGATAGATGAAAGGAATAAGGTAGTGGGGGTAGTATGGATAATAAGCAACAGGATCCGTGTATTTAGGGAAAGAGAATCACTGATTTGAAAAACAGAACGTAGAATCTGTTTGCATGGAGCTTAGAAACAGCAAGGTGACAAACATCGGAGGGATCAGTTTATAGGCCACCAAAAATCATGGTAATGCAGGGCACAGTATTAATCAGAGGAAATTAGAAATGTATGCACTAAAGGGAATATACCATGGATTACTTTGATCCATAAAAGACTAGGTATAGCTAATGAACATGAATGGGTATGGAGGAAAAATTTCTGTAATACATTTGAGGCAGATTTCTGAAGCAATATGTTGAGAAACCAACTAGGGAACAGGCTATTTTAGATCTAACGATATGCAATGAGAAAAGGCTAATTAATAATGCTATCGTACCTTTTTTTTAGGGAATAGTGACCATAAAAGATGGAATTTCTCATTAAGTTTGAAATAATGGAAATGAAATGAGGAAGTTGGCTATGGCAGATTGGAAAAATACATTAAAATGTTTGGTTGTAGCTCGACTATAGGTATTATTTAAATAATTAATACTTGTTTATCAAAAAAAATGTGCCTTCGATCAAAAATACCTAACAGAAAAAACAAGACAGCAATTAACAAAAGAAGTTAAAGATTACATTATACCAAAGGAAGAGGCTCATACAATTGCCAAAAAAAATTGTAATCCTGAAAATTGCAGTTTCCCTGAAATAATAAAGATGTAAGGTTTTACTGGGAATGTGAAACTGAAAGCAATTAGCATTAGTCAAAAAGTAGTATCGGAGAAATTAATAGGACTTGATAAATCTATGGAACACAATGACTTTCACTGTAGAGTGTTGAAGGAGGTGGCTAAAGAGATGATTGATACATTGGTGATTACCTTTCAAAATTCAGTTCATTCTGCAGTGGTGCCTGTAGACTGGAAGACTGCAAACATAACCACCCTGTTTTAGAGGGGAGGGAGAGTGAGAAAACAGGGAACTATGGACCTGTTAGCCTGATGTCAGTAGTAGGGAAACTGCTGGAATCCACTATAAAGCATGTCTTTATTGAATATTTAGAAAATAATGAACAAAGTCAGCATGGATTTATGAAGGCGAAATCATGTTTTTCAGAAAGTTATTAACAGAGTCAGTCAGGGAAAGCCTGTGGATGCTGTGCATTTGAATTTTCAAAACTGAATCATTGGGGCCAAGGGCAATATATGAGCGTGGAGTATGATCAGTGAGAAAACACAAGGATCAGTGCTTGGATTCAAGTTGGTCATAATCTGTATCAATGATTTGGATCAATGATGTTGGGGTAACTGTCATATTTCCAACTTTGCAGATGATACTTAACTCAGCGGGAATATGAGGCAGGAGAAAGATGCAAGGGGGCTTCAAGGATACTTAGACAAGCTGAGTGAATGAATGTATGGCAGATGGAATACCAACATGTTAGTAGGAAGACCAAAGATGCAGAGTATTTCTCTAATGATGTGAGACTGAAAATTTTTGATATCCAAAGGAACCTAACCATCCTTGTTCATAAGACTCTGAAAGCAAGCATGCAGGTGCAGCAAGAAGGCAAACAATATGTTCAGCCTTTATCATAAATTGAGTACTTTGAAGACACTTTTTATTCTCATTCTGGACTTTTAAACTCTGTATTGCCGTGCCAGTCTATTTTTTAAAATTACTTTTTATCTGTACCATAGTGTCCAGGGATGTGCAGGCCACGTGGGTTAGCCATGGGAAATGCAGGGCCAGAGGGATGGGGTAGTGGTTGGGTCTGGGTGGGATGCTCTTCAGAAAGTCAGTGTGTACTTGATGGGCCCAATGGCCTGCTTCCAGACTGTAGGGATACAACGATAGACACAGTAGCTGTAGTAAAGATGTTTTCCCCGACTGTGTGCTCTAGAAGCATGGGACACAGACTCTGAAATAAAACATGTCATTTAGGACCGAGATGAGGAAATTCTTCACACAGAGGCTGGTGAATCCTTGGAATTCTCGACCCCAGAGAATGGTGGAAGCTCAGTTTTTCAGTAAGTTCATGAGTGAGATTGATTTATTTCAATTAGTAATGTTAGGCATACATGGCATTGAGGCGGATGAGCGGCTGTGACCAAGAATAGCACAGTAAGCTTGAGAGGCTGAATGACTTACTCCTGCTTCAATGTTCCTAATGATACTGAAATATAAATAGGTTATGGGCTTTAACAAAGGAGACACTTGAATTGTCCCAATGGATATGAATTTTGCTGAAGCACAGAGTTCTGTGATAGATTGTTTCATGTTAAGGGACTGTGAATCCTTGACCAGATATGAAATAAAGTTTAGATACTGGGCTGTTCTTGAGCTGCTTGGTTTTGGGTCAGTTTTTCTCACTATTTCTGCCAATTAGCATGTATGCTGACCACTAGTCAAGACATGACAAGAAGTCAGGAAGGTGGCAATAACTTAGGTACTGCACAAAAACAAATCCTAGTACGCCATAAACTGCCTCCTAGGAAAATACTTCAAAGCAACAATTAAGACATTAACAACCAGAATTAAGACTATGAGAAGACCCTTCATTATATAGTTTGCTGCCATTTAAGAGGAAAGTTCATCAGCACTCCCTTAAGGGCATCTCAGGGATGGGCAATTTATTCTGGCCTTGCTAAAGGCTCCCATATCAAGTCTAAACTTAAAAGAAACGTAACCTACACTTACTTGTATGTGTCTGTTGATGGTACTCTCCATTTCTGAATGCCCTTCCAAGAACCTTTAGCTACAACCACCACAGAAGTACTTGTATTCTTGTAAGCATTGTTGCACTGGGTCTGCGTTGGTCCTTTGGGCCCACTGGCACCACATGTCCTAATAATCCATGGGCCTGAAGAATGGAAGGAAAAGTGGAAAGATTTAAGAAAGCTGAGACAACCTTTGCTCTGTGTGCATTCCACGGTAGGGGGTCAGTGTAATCTTGGTCTTTGGCAACTTTACTGGAAAAACAGACAAGTCTAATAACCCAATCCAAATTTACCTGCAATAATATCAAGAAGAAATCATACAGCAATTATCTGAGTTATCATGTTCAGCCTCATTTTTCTACCCAAAATCCGTGCAAACTGGAATTTTGGCCTGAGGCTTTCAAACATGAAGTTACCATATAAAACATGATTGTGTAAAGGAATGTACAAAAGACTAAGTGCTTCTATGATACCACAAAAGAATGTAGTAGTAAATCACAGTATGTGAACACCTCATTAAAAGTAAGGATGATTTTTCCCTCCACAGAATGAAACAACTTTCCAATCGGATTTTGTTTTTGTACTATCCTTCAATTTAGCACAAATAAGAAGTAAAGAAGACAATTTTTCAAATCATCTCATTGTTAATAGTTTGAGGACTCATGGGAGTCACTCAAAGAGATACAGCCACAGGGCCTAAATATTTCGGTTGCAGACAGAACAATCGCTCATCAAAAGAAGTTTAGAACCCCAGCTGGCTTATTTATTAATTATAAGGAGAGTAACTGCTGAGTGCATTGTCAATCAACATTGTATCTGTAGAAGCAGCCAGGCTTTTCGGATAACAGTTAAGTCTCCAGCTTCAACTGACTGCAACTTTAGAAGGTGCAGATCTGTGCTTAGCATTTGAAACTTCTGATAAACATAGAAACCTTTCCAGTTCAGAAATTTATTGTTTTTGGAAGCAGTAGTTGTCTGGAAGTTTTTTTGATCAGACCCAAGACCCAAATACTAGTACAGTTTTGTGGGAGGCTAAACAATATTTGGATAAGGACAACAATTATTTTTACTCATTTACGATGCTTTATTCCTGTTTTAAACTTCAGTTTTCCAGTTCACACCAGGCATTCTAATATCATTTTATAACCCAAAATCTTTCAAAATTCAGAAATGACTTTTTCTAAGAGATTACAGTATACCACAATAAAAGCCACAGTGGATGTTGCAAATCTGAAATAAACAGAGAGAATACTGGTGAAACTAAGTAGGTCTGGCAGAATCTGCGAAGACAGAAAGCGAGCTAGTGCTTTGAGTCCAGTGTGAATCAAGAATGACACTGGACTCAAAATGTTAGCTGTTTCTCTGTCCACAGATGCTGCCAGATGCACTGCATTTCTCCAGCATTCTCTCTGTTTCTTACAGTACAGCTTTATGTTATCCATGGTCTACGATTTTGCAAAATACTAGTGAGTCAATGATTAAATAAAAAGTCATTCATTTTTAAGACCTGATATATCTAGGAGTACCATCAGCTAGGATTTTATTGCAGCTTTTAACTCCAGATTTATCAAGTAGACTTACATACCAGCAGCCCATCAGGGATTTGAGCTCATGTCCACAGAGTATTAGTCCATGCCTCCAGATTGTTAGACCAGTGACTAACCACAACTCTACTGTCTTCATATAGTTTTAGGCAGAACTAATGAACAGTCACTCTCTCTTCCTGCAGATGCTGAGTTTCTCCAGCAATTTCTGTTTTTGTTATAATTCAGGTATAAGAACAGAACAGCCTGTTCAATTGTGGGTGGCACAGTGGCTCAGTGGTAAGCACAGCTGCCTCACAGCACCAAAGTCCTGTGTTCAATTCTAGGTGATTATCCTGGTGGAGTTTGCACATTTTCCCCATGCCTGCATGGGTTTCCTCAGGGTGCTCAAGTTTCCTTTCACTGTCCAAAGGTGTGAGGGTCAGGTGGATTGGCAATGTTTAAATTGCCCATAGTGTCCCAGGTTGTGTACGTTATGTGGGTTAACCACAGAAAACACAGGGGGATAGGGTTAGGGAGGTGGGTCTGAGTGGGATGCTCTTTAGAGGGGCAGCCTGCTTCCACAGTGTAGAGATTTTATGAATTAAACTGGTGGTCACTGTTCAAGTCTGTAGTTTGCCTGACAATGCTGGGTTAAGGTTAGGAGATAATGTATCCCTGCTGACACTTCATTAAAGGACTTCTGCTTGTGAAAAGGCTCGAGCAAACATATTATATTTCAGCAGTTCTCACAATTCTATAATAAGTAATAAGCTGTTGTTTCATTAATTAATTTGCTGGTTTAAATTGAAGTCACTTATCATAGGAGTCATTCTTCCTATATACTAATCATCATATTTCATGCTGTCACTATTCCGTGCCAAGCCAGGGTGCCAATATCTGCTTAAATGAAGAGGTATAATTCCTGCGATATTCCTTTGTGATGCAGATGGCTAGTGCACCAGCAGATCATCTGCCACCTCTTTATACATTGTCAGTCCTTCTACCCTTATTACCACTTCCAAATACTGAAGACAGAAAAAAAGGAGTACTGTCAATCCAGCGCATTAAATAATAGACCAAGGAAGGAAAAGAATGCCAAAGAAGATTAAGGAGGGAAAGAGAACCTAACAAGAGGGGCAAACACCACCATCTACAAGTTTCACTCCAAGCCATTCATCAGCTTGGCATGGAAATATGTCACCGTTCCTTCACAGTCACTGGGTCAAATACTGCAATTCCCTCCCTCAGGGCATTGTAGGTCCACCGATACCACATGGATTGCAGCAACTCATGAAGGCAACTCAAGGAGGCACCACCGTCTCAAGGGCAACTAGGGCCAGGCAATAAATGCTGGCTCAGCCAGTGACACCCAAATCCCATGACTGAATTTTTAAAAATGCAAGGGAAGATGAAGAGGGTCAGAATGGGAGAGAAGCTAAGAGGGGAGAAATTTCACGGGAGAGTAAAGGGTAAAAGCATTGAAAGGGAGAGTGAAAGAAAGTATGAATGGAAATGAGAAAGGATGTCAATGGATAACACGACTGAGAGAATGGGCAGAAATGAAGGAAAGAGGCAGAAACTGAAAGAAGCACTTGATGAGAGAATAAAAGGCTGGTATCCTGTCACCAACTCACCCTTTATTTACATGTTCATAGTACGTGACATTGGTCCAGCTTTCCCAGAGCCAGTTCTCAGAGTAAGCAAAACCCCTGACACTTCTGTTTATAACTGTCACCTACAGCTTCCTGATTGGACCAGGTTAACAGCCCCAATCAGGGAACTCATATTCTATGGATCCATCTGGCTGACATTGTTCCGGTCACTCCACTGTTAGTCTGTTGAAAGTTTAAAATGGACAATTTGAATTTCCTTATTAAAGGAACATTTACTGATAATGAAGTAAAAACATGCTTAATATTAATGAGGGTACATAAATTTTGTGGAATATATTTAAAAAGACGTGGACATACTGTGTGATTTGTGTCCTTTCCCTTTATAAATATGCCTTCAAACAGTCACAAAGATATATTTTTATTCTTCAAAAAAGGAGAGCAATATAAATGCACAAAGTAGCTGCTTATAGCACAGAGCATGTGTGTATTACTACTCGTTTTCACATATCAGGGCTCTTCTTGGGTTGCCACTTTGAGAAGCTGTACTGGCTTTTTGAATCTGTTGATTAGTTCCTGGTAGTTTTCTACATTTCCCTATGTGCATCTTTAACACATGTATGTAGAACGTAGAACAGCAGAGCATAGGAACAGGCCCTTTGGCCCACCATTTGTGCTGACTGTGATACCACTCTAAACTAATCCCATCTGCCTGCACATGGTCTGTATCCCTCTATTCCCTACTTGTTCATGTGTCTGCCTAAATTCCTCTCGAGTGTGGCTATTGTATCTGCTTCTACCGCTTCAGCGCATTCCCAGCACCTGTGACCCTCTATGTTAAATACCTGCTTCGTAAATTTCCTTTAAACTTTTCCCCTGTCACCTTAAACCTATCTCCCCCAGTATTTGCCATTTCCACCCTGGGAAAAATATTGTGGATAACTGGAAAATGTGGGCTTTTAAGTGTTTGACAAGATGAAACCCAGAAGAGTAAAAACTGTGAAGGTGATCCATTTAATTTAAGACTAAGACAAAGGGAGCAGGAGTGCAAGCTATACCACAGGCAAGGCTCAGGGTGGGTTAAGCTGTCATGAAATTCAAATTGTACAAAAAACTATTTTTACAGCATTGCAAACAATGCTTGTCAACAAACAAACCTCAATAACTGACAATGAACATTTTCCAAAAAGCTAATCATGGAAAATAAATTGTGCAGCTAAGAAGGGACTTTGGCTTGAGGCCTTGTGAACGAGCAAATTGCTTCAAGGCAACTGACTTAAGTTAAACTGTTCTTCATTAAATTGAATTTCAGATCTGTCTTACCGTTTTGGGATCACATTGTATAATTTATTTCATCTTATAAAAATTGTAACCCAAAGGACTTACACATAACATATCAAAAGAGAGGGTTATTCATGGCAGCGAAATGGAACATGAGCATAAACTGCAACTGTATCTAATATGTCATCTTTGGTATAATGGGAAAACATCAGAAATGCACAGAATTTATTGGTGGGGAAGCTAATCTGGGAGAAAAATGACAGCTACTTGGACAAACATAAATATATTACAGAGGAGACAGCACTGATATATTTGGGGAAGACCTTGTTTGATTGACTTGATGATGTTTGATGAGGTATCAGATTTGGTAAACAAGGACTATGCAGCTGATGTTGCAAATGTAGTTTTTCAAAAGGCTAAGGTATGACATATTAGGCTTGTTAACAAAGTTGAAGTTTGTGAGGTAAAGGGAACAGAGAGATGTATAGATGTAGATTTAGATTTAGATTTGGATTTAGATTTAGATTTAGGTTTTGTTGTCACGTGCACTTAAGTACGGGGTACAAGAGTACAGTAAAAAGTGTACAATGTCACCACACATGGTGCCATCTTAGGTACAAAGTACCTAGGTACAAAATCTTAGTTACAGACATTGAAAAACAAAGAAATAAGTTAAAAAGTTCAGCACTATGGTCTTCTTAGTGGAAAAGTGGAAAAATAAAGAAA